TAGAGTGGTCCAAAAGCTAGAGAGTTTTGCTAGAGCATCTCTAGGTATTTGATTCAGGTCACACCCACAAGGAATTTATTTTCAACTCTAGAACATTTAAAGTAGAAGGTGACAAAGGAGAGACAAAAATGCTTAGACAGTGTTAACAGTTATGTTTTAGTCACTCTCTTCATGGTAGTGATTGAATTGATCAGAACTCATGTTGGGGGATGACTGCATCATAACTGCCAAACCAGACACTCAGGGCCCAGCCAAGTTGACACACACACAGCCTTAGCCATCACAGCTCCTAATAGAATTTTCTACAGTAATAGACTATGGCTTGTCTGAGTTATAAATGAGATCTGTTCCTGTCTGCCTCTTTAAGAATTTGTAGGTAAATCAGAACAGATGTATATAGTTCTTATTTAGCTTTATTTTAGTTAACTTTAGTGCAAGAAAATGCTAGAAACTTTTTCAGTAATGTAAAAAACTGCACATGCCGTAAGTATGTATGTGTATATGTGTATCTATGTTGTTGTTGTTCTTAGGTGCCATCGGGTCGGTACCGACTCATAGTGACCTTATGCACAGCAGAATGAAACATTGCCCAATTCTGGGCCAACCTCACAACATATATATGTATGTATGTATGTATATAAAACTAAAAACTTGAAGAACATACGTGTGTGTATATAAAGGATCTCTGGTGGCTCTGTAGTATAAGCACAGGAGTGCTAACTGCAAGGAGAGCAGTTTAAATCCACCAGCTGCTCTGTAGGAAAAAGATGAGGCTTTCTACTCCCATCATGATTTACAGCTTCTGAAACTCCCTACATGGTTGCAATGAGTCATCGTCGACTCAGTGGCAGTGGTTTTGGTTTTCGTTGGTATATACACACATATGTGGAGGCCTGGTGTAGTGCTGTGGGTTAATGTGCTGGACTGCAAAGTCTATTTGCACTGCAAGGACGGTAGTTCAAGCTCACCAAGCACTCCTTGAAAACCCTCTGCAGTGTCATTATGAGTTGAAACCAACTCATTGGTACTTAACAACAACAACACATACACAAATATAATATGTTGTTGTCAGGTGCCATTGAGTTGGAACTGACTCATAGCGACCGCATGCACAGCAGAATGAAACTATGTCTGATCCTGGGCAAACCTCACTACCACCGCCACACTTGACGCCATCAATGATGCCACTTGGCTGATCCATCTCGTTGGGGGTCTTCTTCTTTTTCTCTGACCCTTCACCTTACCCAGCATGACATCCTTCTCCAGCGACTGTTCTCTGTGGGCAATGTGTCCAAAATATGAGAGACGAAGCCTAGCCATTTTGGCCTCCAAGGAGCACTCTGGTTGCACTTCTTCCAAAACATATCTATTGGTTCTTTTGGCAGTCCATGGCACTTTTAGTATTCTTCTCCAACACCACAACTCAAAGGCTTCAATTCTTCTACGATCTTCCTTATTCACTGTCCAGCTTTCGCATCCACAAATATAATATAGACAGATTTATCTCAAGGAAATGGCTCACATGGTTGTGGAGGATGGCAAGTACAACATTTTGTGGGTCATAGAAGCTGAAGGTTTCACTTGGTTGCAGGAGCTGATGAATTGGCAGGTCAGATGACAGGATGTTTGCTCATGAGGCTGTGGAAGCTGGTGAATCCCCTCTGAATCGGTAGGTCAGACAGTAGGCTGCTAGCTCAAGTCCCAAGAACCAAAGAGCTTTGCTAGAACATCCATATATGTGATTGTTGTTGCTAAGTGCCATCAAGTCAGTTCCTACTCATAGCGACTCTGAATAGGGCTTCTGAGGAGTAGCTGGTGGGTATGAACTGCCAACCTTGTGGCTAGTAGTCTAGTGCATATCCTATAGCACCATACCAGGGCTCGCTCGCTCGCTCGCTCGCTCTCTCTCTCTCTCTCTCTCTCTCTCTCTCTCTCTCTCTCTCTCTCTCTCTCTCTCTCTCTCTCTCTCTCTCTCTCTCTCTCTCTCTCTCTCTCTATATATATATATATATATATGATGGGGCTTCAAAAAGTTAATGGAAAAATGGAATTAAAAGATACTGGAATTTTCCCATTAATTAAAAAAAAAACCCTTTATATATTGGATGCAAGTCACACCCCAAGGACATTCCCTTTATATCTGAGTAAGAGTGGAACTTGAGTCGTATCTTTCTCTAAGACTGTGACTCAGGATATACTCCACACCAATCCTGCTTCATTAACATATAGATATTAGGATTTATAACACATGAAATGGAAGATAATTGCATAAGATTGCAAAATGAAGGACAACCACACAATACTGGAAATCATAACAAGTTGACACATAACTTTACATTAACCATCACAGTCAGAAATTATAATGTGTTTATGGAATGTTCAATCAAGTAGCATATCCACTGGGTAGTTGGACATAGGTCTGGAACTCGAGAGACTCCTTGGCTGGGCATAAAGATTTGGGAGGATTGGCCTATATAGTATAAATGAACTCTTGGTAGTAGATGGTATCTTACAGGGTGTGGAATAAGAAGAGAAGACAACCTAGTAGAGAATTCTGAGAAACAAAGCTCTTCAGGGACTAACATACAGAGAGGAACCTCAAAAGGGAACCTTAAAGGGGAACCGCTTTGTAGGGGAATGTCAGATGCTTCACATTGGGCAGTTTGGAAAAAGTAATGAATACTAAGTCAAATGCTCTGTTGTTGAATTGAGTGGGACTCACGTGGCCCTATGTAGGATTTGTGATACTGCACGTCTTTATGTAGGCAGACAGCCTTATCTTTCTCCTCTGGAGTAGCCGATGGGTTTGAACCAGCACAGTACCTAAGTCACAGTGCCACCAGTGCTCCCTAATGAATGGTGAGCCCCGTAGTATATATGAGTTAGCTGCAGCCTAATGTTTTGGTGGCAAGGAAACATTTGGTGACTTGAAACTGTAATGTCAAAGTGGAGTCAGAGCTAAATTGTAATGGATGTAAAAGGCCTAATGAGGATTCTCCTTTGAACATTTTCTTGAGAATGATAATTGATAGCAAGAATTGAATGTGGGCTTGAAAAAGGTCTGCAAATTTTTTATTTGAAAATTTGAAAAATTGTAAATCACAGGTTCTGAGTAGTAAGTATATATAGGCAGCCCCTAGGTTACAAATGCTTAATACTTCTATTTGCCTTTTAATGATATGTAAATTTGCCTGTACTTTGAAATTGTTTAACCAGCCCTACTTGGAATAAATTCTTCATTATACCCACTTTCACTTGTTTCATATGCAGCTTTTAAAACTTTAAAATTTTCTGGCACTGAAGTAAGGCTAAATCAGAACTGTATGCACGGGTTCCAACATAACCTACAATTTCTTTAAAACAACAATAGGAATGAATCTCATTTAGTATTTTATTGTAGAAAGTTTTATTAGAAGCGGCAGTGGTTACGGTTGTGTATCAACTTTGGCTGAGCCCTGAGTCTCTGGTTTAGCAGTTAGGATGTAGTCACCTCGCATCATGAGTTCTGATCAATGTAATCACTCTCGTGATCATATCTGCTATGATGACCCAGTCAGTTGAAACATCGTTTCCTTGTAGTGTGGTGGTGGTGGTGATGTGCCATGGAGTCGGTTCCGACTCATAGCGACTCTGCACAGGGTTTCCAAAGCTGTAAATCTTTACAGGAGCAGAACGCCTCAGCTTTCTCCCGCAGAACAGCTGGTAGTTTCGAACTGCTGACCTTACAGTTCGCAGCTGGATTCATAACCATTTATGTATGGATGTTATGGCAAAGCTCTCTAGCTTTTTGCTTCCTCTGGATCCGACATCCAGTTCTTAACATCTGAACTCTGGTTCTTAAGACTTAAGCCAGCGATCTGCCATAATCACTGCCCATCTCGGGTTCATCAGCCCCTGCAGATACATGAGTCAGGGAAAACCTCTCACCTAACATCTAACCCATGAACTTGGGACTTACCAGCCTCTACAACTGTGTGAGCTCTTTCCTTGAGATAAATTCCTCTCTCTAAATACAGATGACCAACAAGTAACATCATGATAATGGAGAAAAGATTTAAGTTGACAATACTTCATTTTGCTTGGATCTATAACCAACACTCATGAAAGTAGTAATCAAGAAGTCAAATGATATATTGCAGTAAGCAAATCTGCTGCAAAAGACGTCTTAGAAGTGTTAAAGAAAAAGATGTCTCTTTGAGGACTGAGGTGCACCTGACCCAAGTCATGGTATTTTCAGTTGCCTCATGCATGTTAAAGTTGGATAGTGAATAAGGAAGGCCATAGAAGAACCAGTGCATTTGAATTATGGTGTTAGTGAAGAATATTGAATGTACTACCATTGACTGCCAAAAGCACAAACAAATATGTCTTGGAAATACAGCCATTCTGCTCCTTAGCTGCAAGGATGGCAAAATTTCTTAAACATGTCAGAGGGACCATTCTCTGGAGAAGGACATCATGCTTGGTGAAGTGGAGGGTCAACAAAAAAGAGAAAGACCTTCAGTGAGATGGATTGACATAGTGACAACGTGATGGGGTGGGATCAGGTGGTGTTTTGTTCCATTGTGCATAGGGTTACTATGAATTGGTACTGACTTGACAGTTCCTAGCAACATAACCTGCACTGGTTCTTCTTATCTAGAAAAAAGTCTGTCTGGTTTTTCCACTTCCTCTTTAGAGCTTAAATCCAATGACCAGGTGGTTTAAGGATAGAAGTCAAAACTTTCTTCATCAATCCAGTGCTTCTTGAAGTCCTGTTGTGCCTAATTTTTGCTGGCCCAATATAATCTTAGAGTTTCCGATAAGAAAGTAAAGTTGTTAGTTGCCATTAAGTTGGCTCTGACTGATGCTAATCTCTGTAACAGAACAAAACAGTCCTGTCCTGTGCATCTCCATGATCTTATTCAGTAATTACATTGTATTTAACTTAGCACTGGGAAAGGGAACAGTTTACCCCCAAAATTGATCAATTTAATCATAATGAATATTGTATATTTCAGACTTAAACCACTGGATATTGAGTTTATGAAGCGTTTACATGAAAAAGTGAATATCATCCCTCTTATTGCCAAAGCAGACACACTCACACCAGAGGAGTGCCAACAGTTTAAAAAACAGGTAAGCATTATAAGCGTGAACTCTGGGGATTTTTATATCATTCGTATAATTTTTGTTATTTTCTGCATAGTATTTTGCATTTTCATTTTTCTTACTGCTTTGCTATATTGTTATTTATGCTTTGTTAAACTGATTTGGGTCAAATCAATTATGATTTATAGCAATCCTGTAGAACTGCCCATAGGGTTCTCTAGACTATAATTTTTACAGGAGCAGATAGCCAGATCCTGTCTCCCTCTAGGAGTGGATGGTGGATTCAAACTACCGACCTTGACTTAGCAACTGAACACTTTAACCACGGTGTCACCAGGCCTCCCAGATGTATTAAAAGTAACTTTATTTAAAATGATCTAATGCCTTACTTTTCTTTTCAAAGAAAAAACTCATCTACTGTCATAGTACCCTTGTTAAGTATCGTTGAGTCGATTCTGTCTCATAGCAATCCTGTATAGGGTTTCCAGCGAGCAGCTGATGAGTTTGAACTGGCCAGTCCTGTGGTTTGCAGTTTAGTGTTAATGGACAGCGCCACACCAAGACTCCATAGTACCCTTAACCTTTGGCAATTTATAAAAACATAAATAAGACTGCTTTAGATTATTCTGTGTAGTCCTTCCCTCCCTCCCTTCCTAGTTGCTGAGAATTATTTTCTTACAATAATTTACTTCAGTAGGAGCACTTCTTTCAATGAGTATTATTGTATTTATGACCCCCTCCTCCCCCCACCTGCCCCATTTTGCCATGGTGCTTTCCCAGTAAGAAAGTTCCTAACACTTATTTCACCATAGCTTGCCGGCATTGTGTGTCATTTTTATTTTTACAACTTTTTGAGACTAAATTGATACCAAAGAGTTTCTTTAAGGAGCCCTGGTGGTACTATGTTTAAGCACTTCTCTGAGCACTGAAAGGTTGGCTGTTTGAACCACCATACATACACTCTTTAGGGAAGATAAGCCCTAGCAATCTGCTCCTGTAAAGCTTGCAGCCTAGGGAATCCTAGGGGCAGTTCTGCTCTGTACTGCAGAATTAATATGAGTCAGAATTGATTCGAAAGCACACAACAACAACAGTTACTTTAACTCCTATTTTCACTTTTAGAAAGGCTGAACACTTTTAAAAACTAGTTGAATTTGTCTTTGTGGACTAGTAGTACAAATAGTTCCTTACTTAATGATAGTTTCATTCCAAGAAATACATTGTAATTGAAGTTCCTTTTTTTAAAAAAAAAGTTTTCAGTGTTAATGTTATTTTTATAGATCCAGTCTTTATTTGTTTTTTTTTTTTGAGTTGGAAACATTAGTTATAAACACTGGACTGCTAACAGCAAGGTCAGCAGTTCAAACCTACCAGCCACTCATCAGAAAACCTATAGAGTCGCTCTGAGTTGGAACTCACTCAATGGCACTGTACAACAACAAATATCTTTGTGCATATATGTACATTTAAAAAACTACACAGCTCATTAAGAATTTACTCCAATGATAAAGAAGAGTTACACAATATTGACATTTTGTAAGTTGAGGTAATAGCTCCATTTTTTGGAAGGTTCTAAGTCATCTGGGTCATTCCTGGGAATGGCACTTCTGGTGTATGGGCCTTTTCTGTTATTCTTCATGTATTTCATTGTAACCCGTTACTGCTTCATGACTTGCCCATCAACTTTAGCCAGGTGATCAGTATTTGGGTCCATTTTTTTAAGCAACCAAAGCCCCTGATAATGTTTAGAAAATGAAATCTATACTGCAGTGGTTTAAACAGTTAAGTCATAACATTGAACATATGTGAGTGAACATTTCAGAATGACAACATCAGCAAATTAGGCACTACACCATAGTAGGTAATGCGTATGAGGGTAAGTAAAAAACTTCCTACAAAATCATGGGAATCTATATCAAGCAAAAATCAGAATGCAACTATTGTTTCTCAACATATCCTCAGTCTAGGTCTATCCACTGTTGAAGGCCATGTTTCTCTTTCTCTAACCCATCACCAGAGAATTCTGTACTTTTTGATTTACATCACCTCAAAATGCTAATTTTGGCATCCTTGAGGGACTCAAATCACATTCTTTCCAAATATTCTCAGTGTTAGGGACAAGTCTGAAGGGAGGAAATCAGGGCCATGGTTTGGATGAGATAAGGTTTCCCAACAAAATTCTATAGGACAACACTATCTAAAGTTGAAGAATGATCAGGTGCATTGTTGTGATGGGAAAAATTTCTCAGTGCAACTTGGACTTTTTCTCACCAATGCAGTTTTCCCATTTTCTTAAAACTTCTTCAGAATGTTGCTGGTGTTAAGTGCCATTGAGTCAATTCCGACTCATATCAAATCAACACTGTCTAGAGTTTCCAAGGAGAGGCTGTGGGGTTTGAGCCACTGACCATGTAGTTCAAGCTGACCTTGTGATCCAGTGCATTATCCTGCAATGCCACACCAGGACTCCACAGAAAGCCTCATGTTTTCCCCACAGTGCAGCTGGCGGATTCAAACTGGTGACTGTAGGTTTATTAAGCCCATCTTATAATCCACCACTCTACCAGGGATCCTTTCTTTAGAATAAGCCCCTTTTACCACCCTGTGTTGTTTGGTAGTATCTATCAAGTTTACCCCTTTGGAATCCCAAACAGCAGTCACCATAGCCTTCTGAGCAGACCTCTATGCCTTATAAATATAACTGATCTGGTAGATCCCCTCAGAAGTCACTGATTTGATTGGGTCTTGGTTTCTGGATTGTATTGGACTGCCCAAAGAACAAACAGGTCTATGTTGGAAGAAGTACAGCCAGAATGCTCCTTGGAAACTAGGATGGCCAGAATTCATCTCTTAGATTTCAGACATATTATCAGCAGGGACCAGTCCCTGGAGAAGGATATCATTGCTTATTAAGTGTAGGGTCGGAGAAAAAGAGGAAGACCCCCAATGAGATGGATTGGTACAGTGGCGGCAGCAATGGGCTCAGGTGTAGCAATGATTGTGAGTGAGGTTGGTGTGGGACCATGGGACCGGGCAGTGGTTCATTCTTTTGTGCATAGGGATGCTATGAGTTGATACCAGCTGGATGACACCTAGCAACAACAATAATAAATATTGTCAAATTGAAGACTTATCCATAGTTATGATTCATGCCATAAAAGCATCTTCACTAACTTCAGTCTTGCTTAAGAGACTGATGGAGCTATCCGCTCTTTGAGCTAGCTGACCTTTACACAACACTTTTGACACTCATTGAGCCCAGAGCTTGCCAAAACCAAGACGTTCTCTTAAATTGAAAATGGCTGAGTCCCCAACTTGAGCAGCTATGGCATCAGTGATATTTCTATAGTCTTCCGCTTTACACCCTCGGAAACCCTGTACAGGGTCGCTATGGGTCGGAACCGACTCGACAGCACTTAACAACAACAACAACCAACTTCTGCACTTCAGCCACAGTGTTTTTTATTTGTCAGAGTTATTGGTCTTCCCCTCTTCTTTTATCTTTGAGGTCTTCCCAATCTTCCTTAAAGTACATGCTCAGTCTAAAAATGTTATTTGTGGGACAGCATTTCCATAAACTTGTTGCAAAGTTTCTGTGATTTTGGAAGGTGTCCACTTGAGTTTTGTAAAAAAAAATTGACATAAACTCTGACTCTGAAGTTATTTTTTTCCGTGGTACAATAGTTTTTCTATTTCTTTTTTTAAAAAGACACCCACACTGACTAAGGTCATGGGTGTGGACCTGTAGGCAAGGTGGCAGTTCAAATTCACCAGCTGCTCTTCAGAAACCCTATGCAGGGTCACTGTGAATCTGAACTGACTGAGTATCACTTAACAACAACTAAGGAGTCCTGATGTAGCACTGTAGCATAAGCACTGGACTGTTAACTGCAAAGTCGTAGGTTCAAACCGACAAGCCACTCCTTAGAAACCCTGTACAGGGTTGTATGAGTTGGACCCAACTGAACAGCTCTTAACTAAGCAGAGACAAGTGTATTACTGAGAGAACTTGTCTGTAGCTGTCTACTAATCACAGAGACTTGTTTAAACACATTTTGTTTGGAATAAACCCGTGTTATGTGTGAATTGGAACCTAATGATAGGATGTACCAGGAAAAAAACAACCAGAAGCAGATAGTTGTAAGTTCAGTTCATTTGTAGGTAAAGACACTGTTAGTCAGGGTCTGTCTGCACTTGGTATTGCTTTTGTGTATGTATATAGGTTCTTTTCATTTTGAATATTCAGATACTTCTCGATTTCGCAAGTACTTTTTCTCCTTTGCTTCATATATTTTAAGTTTGTTTTCATTGTATAAAAGTTCATAATAATATAATTGAATTTACTCATAACTTTTATCCTCTGCAATCTCATTGATTGTCTTAATTGACTTTGGATAGCTGAATTACTGTAGCTTGCTTCATTTATAATTTATTTAGTCATTTATGTACACAAAAAAGAATATATATAGATTAAGCTTTATAATCACTTGCCTCAACAGTATTAATTTAAATAATGACTCATTTGCCTCATCTTGTTGGGTTTGGTTTGTTTTGTGTTATGTTTTATGAAATGTAGGAACAATTTCTGGAACCTTTCTCCTGTGCCAGTAGTCTGTTTTTTATTTTAGACCAGTGTTATATCTTAAATTACTTAAGTACTGTGTAATATTTTAAAAATAGGTTTTTAGGATTAATTATCTCAGTAACACTGTTAGAGAAACAAAACCTTACTGTTGTCTGTTTTGAAGTTGTGTTAAATCCATTTAAATTTTGAAAATTAGTACATATTATTTTTACTATATTTAATATTCCTGCAAGGGTATATTTTTCTTAATGATTCTCCATTTATTCACTCATTTTTATTTTGTTAAATGTTGTTTATAAATTTCAAATATTAATCATATTTGTTCACTTCTACTGAATTTATTTAAATCAATAAAATTAATATTAAAATAATTATCTACATGATAGAATAACTAAAATTTATTGAGGATTTACTATCCAGTCAATATTAAATGTGCAAACTCATTTCAGGCTAAGAATGGCCTATAAGGTCAATTAGTATCTCTGTTATGTACATGAGGAGAAGACAGACACAGGATGGTTAAGTACCTTGCCTGGGGTTCCGTGGCTAGTGATTAGCAGAACCAGGGTTTGACCCATAGGCAGTATAGAACCAAGGTCTTTGTCTACCTACTTTTTTACTTCATCTGAAGCCAGTTATTTCAGGTTCTTCTGAATAGTTCTTTCAACATATTCGTAACTCCTGTGTGCCTAAATTTGTACTACTGACTTGGAGACAAAAAAGCGGTGATCATTTCAAATGACTCATTTGTACATTTTCTATTTATTATGCATATAGCAGTGATTCCTAACCAAGAGTGTCTATCAGAATCACTTAGAAAATGACTCTTATTGCTGTCAGTTGGTTCTGTAGATTAAGATGGGACTTTGATGTATGTTATGTGGAAGATGTTTGTGCATGCCTCTCTACTATAGAACCTCTCAGAACCACTGCTTTTAGAGCTAGCTATTGCTCTTGCTTTTTTTCTTCTAGTTTATTGGCCTCTTCAATATTTATTCTTAAGTTGTTTGTGATGCAAAGTGTATGTATAACATACCCCCATTCTAAAAGATCTGTGGCTCTGTTTTTCCCAGTAGACATCTTTACTTCTATTTATAGTACAGTAGTACAGTTACCATATAACACATTTGTTTGGGTCCTTGCTTCAGGGGGACCCCTACTCTAAGAGTAGAGTCAAAATAAGACAGTTGATTAGAGTTCTATCTAGAGAAAGAACTCAGTTATTGAAAATAAATGATCAAAGTCATAATAGTAGAAATCAACTAGAAAAAGCGTTTTTATGGAATCATATCTTGTCTTTAGAGATCGTTTGATATAGTAATTTTGTGAGTGTACTTAACTAATAGCTGGATTTTGAGAATGATATTTATATGTCAACTTTATTTGTTGACATGAAAGTAAAATACCAGCATAGTACTTTGATTATAATTTTGCATCTTTGGAAAACATTAAAGGACCTAGAACAGAAGACCCATAGTAGGGATTCAAGAATAATGTAGTAAAAGTAAGACTATACTGCAGATTATATGTTTGCTCATTTGCTAACTTCATCTTCCTTTTAGATAATGAAAGAAATTCAAGAACATAAAATTAAAATATATGAGTTTCCAGAAACAGATGATGAAGAAGAAAATAAGCTTGTTAAAAAGATAAAGGTAAGCTCATACCCATACGTATACTAAAATATCTGGGGCCTTAAAAATATAATATCCATTGGCAAGACCAAATATTATAAATAGTGGACTTCCAAAATGAGTAGGGAGATTATTTAGTGTTGAACTTTGTCAAATTAACTTTGTTGATAAGCTATTATATGAAATAAGGCACTGTATGGAACAGAGAGATGATTAACACAATTCCTCTAATCAAATTACTTTAATTGTATTATGTAATTTTCCTCGTTGAAACTCAAGACATGAAGGGAGAACAGTTTTTCTTACAGTACTGGTCTGGTGCTCTAGGATAAGTGCTGGACTGCTAACCTCAAGGCTGGCCGGTCAAACCCACCAGCCACTTCTCATAAACCCTATGCAGGGTCACTATGAGTCAGAGCCAACTTTAGAGGACTTAACTACAACAGCTATATGTATGCCTAATTTAAAAAAAAAAAAAAAAATTTTTTTTTTTTTTGCATGCACGTACACACACACACATACACACACACACACACTTCTTAAGTGCCTTTGAGTTGGTTCTGACTCATAGTGACTGTATATACATTTATTACATACTATTGTTGTATGTGGGGCTCTGGTGACATATAGTAGGTTACACATTGGGCTGCTAACTTGCAAGGTTAGCAGTTCAAATCCATCAGCTATTCTACGGAAGAAAGAGGAGACCTTCTGATCCTATAAAAAGATTTACAGCCTCAGAAGCTCTGTATAGGATCACTGTGAGTTGGAACTGACTCGATGGCACACAACCACCACCACCATGTATATAATTTATTGAAGTCCTGGTATGGCGTTGCAGGGTAAATACACTGGACCACAAGGTTTGTTTGAACCACAGTGTCAGCAGTTCAGAGCCACCAGCCAGAAACCCTACACAGGGTTACTATGAGTTAGAATCAACTCGAGGGCACGTAACAGCACCATAAGAGGGTGAGTCAAAAATGATCAAAACTCTGGTTATATTAAAACAGCCATCCATGTCCACAGCTGATGACAGCATTGAGTGTGCAAGTGAAATGATTCTGTTGAATAGACGAGTGTCAGTGGATTATGTAGCAAGTCAGCCAGGGCTTTGCCTATGAAATAATTCATGACAGACTTGGGTTTTGAAAAGTTTGTGCGAGATAGGTACCAAAACAACTAATGAAAGAGTAAACAGACGTGTTTGGACATCTACAAACAAAATTTGGACTGATACATGAAGGAAGGTAAAAATTTCTTTTAAAAAAATATTGTTACTGGTGACAAGAAATGGATTCATCACTGTGAGCCTGGCAGAATATGGAATGGAAACATCCTCAATCGCTGACCAAGAAAAAGTTTCTAAGTCAACCATCAGCTGGAAAATGAATGTGTACAGTTTTCTGGGATTTTCAAGGGCCAGATTAGAACTCTTATCAGGAAAAAGGTTCAACAATCAACAGTACTCAATACAGAGAGATACTCACTGAGGAGCTGGAATCTAAACTTCAGATTAAATGTAAAGGACTATTGTCCAAAAGGAACTCTGGTAACGTAGTAGTTATGAATCGGGCTGCTAACCTCAGGGTCAGCAATTCGAAACTACCTGCTGTTTTGCTGGAGAAAGATGAGGCTTTCTGCTCCCGTAAAGATGTACAGCCTCGGAAACCCTGTACAGGGTTACTATGAGTCGGAACCGACTCCATGGCACATAGCAACAACACTATCCAAGGGCTTTGTGATCCTTGCATGACAATGTACATCTACACACTTGTGTCCACACTGCTGACAGTCTGCAAAAACATCATTTTGAGTTGTTAAAGCATCTTTCTTATAGTGTTAAGCATCTTTCCTATAGTCTTAGATTTTGCTCCATCATACATGTACTTGTTTGTTCCCTTGAAAGCAGCCCTTTGAAGATGAAGATTCACCTCTGATGAAGTGAAGATAGCACGGTGCATTCATGGCTCACAGCTCACCCTAAAACATTTTTTTAATAAGAGAATATGAAAGCTTGTTGACAGATGGACAAAGTGTATTGAAAAGCAAGGAGATTGTTTCAAAAAATGATAGGTTTCTCTTTTTAAAAAGTTGATTAAAAAGAAATTCTATAGCCAAAGCGCAGATAATTTTTGACTTATCCTCATATAATTTATTTATTCTAACTTGTTGAATTATGTAACTTCTTTACTCTCAGATTTTCAAGGACAACAGGGATGTATTTGAATAAGTGTTCTTTGTTTTGTAGGACCGTTTACCTCTTGCTGTGGTAGGTAGTAATACTATCATTGAAGTTAATGGCAAAAGAGTCAGAGGAAGGCAGTATCCCTGGGGTGTTGCTGAAGGTAAGGTTTTCTTCAGTGAATGACTTCCTATACAAGATCATAAAATATGATTATAAATTTGTATTTGTAATAAGTGGTACAGTGTGTATACTGCTTGTATGTGGCGCTATAGGATAAGCACTTGACCATAAAGTCGGTTTGAGCCGCTCCTTGGAAAAACCCTCTACAGGGCCGCTAGGAGTGGAAACTGACTGAAGGGCATGTGGCAACAGCACCTAATTTCAGGGATACTTCTCATTTCAGTTTTATTTCCTCTTAATTACACTCCTTTTTCTCTAACCTTGTGTCTATTAAGTTAAGCAAATATGTGCTAAATTCCCCTGTCCACCATTGTGATGTTATTAAGTCTATTCCTGTTTTTTTTTTTGTTTGTTTGTTTGTTTTGGTCCAAGAACATACTTACATAGTACAGAGTTTCTATACCTGGAGCCCAAGTATTGCTTCCAGAGGAACTAATGAACCTTCTGAAATAGAAAATAATTTTGGAGAGAAGACCTACTTCTTTTAGCCAACTCTCCGATGGATATGGGACTATCAGAAATAATCATGAACCACTTTTTAAAATTTTAAGAACAGCTTTTCACAGCTTAGTTACACCATTCAGGATCGCCTTTCCTCAGGACTAGTCACCTTGTTTTAACCTCAAATCTTAGAAATAAAAACATTATTAAGGGATCCTCATTACTAATTTCATAGGAAACTTTAATCACTAGTAAATACTACTTAGTACTAACATTTTAGTAATGTAAGGAATTATAGGAATATAAGTAATGAATACTAAGTAATTATCTTAGTAATAACATCAAATCTTAGAAGTCTTCTTGATAAGAAGAGTGTTTCACCAAATTTGTGTGTGTTATGTTGGCTTGGAGTTATGGTGTGGCGCTGCAAGTTAGTGCGCCAGACTGCAAAGCCGTTTGAACTGCAAGCTTGGTAGTTCAAGCTCACCAGCTGCTTCTCGGAAACCTTATACAGGGTTGCTGTGGGTCGGAACTGACTTGACAGCACTTCATAACAACAACATGTTGGCTTAACATAATAGCTAATCTCATGTTTTACAATAACTTGAAACCAAGGTTGATTCATGATAGTTTTAACCTGTTACTACTTTGAACAACTATATATTGTTTAGGATACTGTTCCAGGTTACTGACTTATCACTGGCTTTCCCCACCTATGATCCTGTACTTGTTCCTAGCTCTGTCTCATAACCAGTCAACCTTCAGTTGCTGAGATAATGCTTGAGAACATTTACCCTCTCTGTTTCTCTCCTTAGAAACAGGTACTGGAGAAATTGCTTTGTAATTCTTCTTTGTGGTAAAGTCCTCCCTCTCCAGGAGTGTACCTGTTAGTGATACATTTTAAAAAAATAAGGAATCTCAAAGCTTTTGGCTTACTTTTTTTGTTGTTACCTTTGGGAAGGTTTCCTAAAGTGATTTCCTGCTTATTCCTACCCCTGACTTTTTTAAGTGTTGATTTTTTTCTTATAGAATGAATATATTCTTTGTTTTTGTTTTTTTTTTCTCTCAATACCAATATATTTTCAGCCTTTGAGAATTTTTCAGTGTGGAGCAGCTTGCTTTTGGAGTAATTTTTGACAAATAATTTTCCCCATTGTTCACCTTGGTGGTAGCAATGTAGCAGCTTGAGATAAATACTACTAAACAGGAAAAATGTCCTTTCCCTTTAAAATTTCAAGTGTTTGTTCCTAGAGAGCTCATTTGTTAGGGTTGCTGTTTTAACCACTGAGGATTAGACTCCAGTAACAAATGTTACAGTTCACCTTCCTGACATGACCTTAAATTAATTACTGTGTTACAGTGTTAAACCATAATGAACCAAGTTTGTATAGTCCTTCATTGTCATCCCCAATTTCCTGTGAAATCTTTGAGAAGATGAGGTTTAGCAAAATAAATATATATGGTCTGTTTTTTTCTCATAGTTGAAAACGGTGAACATTGTGATTTTACAATTCTAAGAAATATGTTGATAAGGTAAGTGTGCAATAATGACAAAAGTGTCATTTTCCCTCTACATAATATTAGAGTTGGATAGATTTACTTTTGTCTTCTATAAATGTTTTCTTGTTTGTTGCTCTCAACTGAGCTCTGATTCGTGGCAGCCTTAGGTATAACAGAACACAATGTTGCCTGGTCCTGTACCATATTCTCTACTGAAATGGATGCTATTGCTCTTGCTTAATGTGAAGGGCTGGAAAACTGTAGAAATGAAGGCTGGTTTTTTAGTCCAGAGCTAGACTGGTAATTTGAGTATTTTCCTGTACAGGAACAATGCACCTCAGTGTTTTCATGTAAAGAAGCATTCCTTCCTTTCCCCACCTCACACCCTTCTCCTACTGTAACTCCCATCTCTCATCTTGCTTCTCCGGGCCTCCACACGTTAATCAGCTGGATGGCTATTTTAAATTTAGATCTATTCATTTCAAGTGAAGGGGGAAATTTTAGAAGAGTCAAACTGCTACCTCAGGAAATACACTAGAGATGATAGGGAATTATAAAGGTGAGGAGATTGGCATGTAATTGGTCTTTATTCAGAGGAACTCACAGCATAAGCTTTGATTATTAGGTTGATAAGGGTTAATTTAGCAGTTGGGGTCGCCAGGCCTCAAGCAGTGGGAGAAGAGCAAAGTATTTAAAGCGGGGGGGGGGGTCTTGGTTTTAGGTTCTGTTACTATTTCTTTTCTGTACCATTCTTAATTTGTGACCTCAAGAGGACTAATAATGCCATCTCTTACAACAGTATATATGTACAGAATGTTAATAAATATGAAAGTTGCCATTATCTTACTCAGATTTTATTATTTTCCTCAATTTCAAATCTATGATGTTTGCCCAGTGCTTGAACACATGGTACTCCATAACTATTTCTTATGTATTTTCAAAATGTATAATCAATGCTTACGTATGTAAACATGTACGTAAATACTAAAACATTATGTAAGACAAGACTAGTTACTGAGCCAGAGACTAGACTTTGAATGTTTGAGTGCATAGCCTTGCTGTTGGTGCTAGTATAATAAAGCCTACAGGAAGCTTTCATGTACAGCAGAGCAATAAGACGCTCATGCATGTATACAGGTTATGGATTATATCCCATAGGGCAGAAATGCGCAGTGTGATTGATCCTTAAGTATACATACTAAAGGAAATCATACGAGTTGGTCAAGTAGGAAAGATTTGTGAAAAAAGCTGTTGTAGCTTGGATTAAGATAAATGCAATAATTGAATGATGTTTTTTCCTATTTGACCAACTCCATAATATCATCACTACTCTGAATTCCTTTAATACATTTAAATTGGTTGTATCTACAGATGTGTGACCCACAGATGCAAAACCTATGATACAGAGTGTTGATTGTATACTATTAAAAATATTCTTCTGTGGAAAGGTCATCCTTCAGTGGGGAAAAAAAAAGATACATTGTATCTTGCTCGGCTTTTACTGGAGATGAAAATTGATAAATGCCACCTTCCTTAGGAATTCTCTTTTGCTCATTTAAGTATTAAGATTTTCCACTTTTCAATAGACGCAAACTTATGATACTTATTTATAAATAACAGGACACATATGCAAGACTTGAAAGATGTCACTAATAATGTACACTATGAGAACTACAGAAGCAGAAAGCTGGCAGCTGTGACTTATAATGGAGTTGACAACAACAAAAATAAAGGACAGCTTACAAAGTAAGTATATATTTGTTCCCTTCCAGAGTTGTTGTTGTTGTTGTTAAGTACTGTCGAGTCTGTTCCGACTCATAGTGACCCTGCACAGGGTTTCCAAGGCTGCAAATCTTTAAGGGAGCAGAAAGCCTCATCTTTCTCCCACGAAACAGCTGGTAGTTTCAAACTGCCGACCTTGAGGTTAGCAGCCCGATTCGTAACCACTACACTACCAGAGCTCCTTCCAGAGTAGGTGGTGGTAAATGATTATATTAAATTACAGTTTCATTGGATTCCTCCTGGCTATCATTGGATTCCTCCTGGCTACTCAAGAGAATTTAGATACTGTTGCTGATTTGCAACAGCAGAAATTTATATTGTTGAGTTTTGTTTAGGCAGTTTTATACTTTACTGTTTAATAGTTTGAAGAAATTGTTTTATATTTCTTGTTTCTTAAGTGAAAGAATCATTTATTCTCTTCAAGTCAATTGCCTTCTCTTTATCATCTACTCAACACACATCCTCAATTAGAAAACAAGTAGCTATTTTGACATCACAGCATTTAAGTATGTAGATTTTTGTGTTTTTTTAAAGGATGAGAAGAAAGTTAATATCAGAATCTCTTCACTCATTTACCATGAAGGTATTTTATTTCTTGAATTCATTTTCTTTAAGGAGACAAACATAGAGCTATTTTTATGTCTTCCATTTTGATAGAACTTATACTAAATATTATATAGAAGGAACAGGACCAAGCAAGGATAGCATTGAGTTAAGTGTAGTCCTTCTTCACTCCTGTTACACATTTCCAGGGAGTAGCTGCAAGCTGGTTTTCTTCTGTCGCTTGTTAAGAGTGATGTAACTGTGAGTGCTGGCTCTTGCTACAAAGCTTGTATTTCAGGCTGTGGAGACTTCATGACAAGGCAGGAAAAAGAGACATGTCAGGAGGCTGCTGAAGTAGCTGGGAAGGTTCTTGATCACCATGTCTAGTTTGGATTCTTAATGATCATAAATATTATGTAACCCACTTTCACAATGCACACTAGTAGGTAGGTATTTATTGACAGAGGGGTATCCTCAAAGATCATTTATATAAATAGTGAAAAAACTAGTTCTCAAAGTAAGAAACTGTTCAATAAGTTTTTAAGATACTGGTCAACATTTCTTATAATATAATGTACCTGAAAAGTGCCCTCTTTTTCTTGGTTCAGAAGAAAGCACAAAACACAATACTCATTGCCTAAATTGCAAGCAAGTTCACTTTTAAAACTGACCTAAGCTTTAGCTTTCCCTTTAATTTTCTGATGACATTTAGATCATAGACTTTTAACCAACCTCCTCTGAATTTCTCTTTATTCGATGACTGTGTTTTTATGTAGGTCTTGTGGCCCTGTGGGTTACTGTGTTGGGCTGCAAAGTCGGTTTGAACCTCCAGGTTGGTAGTTCAAGCTCACCAGTCACTTCTCAGAAACCCTATACAGGGTCAGAACAGACTTGACGGCACTTAACAACAACAACATTGATACATTCTTAGGGTTTGTGTTTTGAAGGACCCCCTCGGGGTTGTCTGTTGGGAAGAGATTGTGATTAAGCCCCCTAGGTGGTTCTGATCGAGGTGATCAGTAGTTCTCTCTCTGTCAGCATCCCTCATCTGGGTGGAAAGTGACACAGGCTCAGCACATGAGAAGCAGGTCAGCCTCTGTACGGTTTCCATTTAGCAAAGTTTGTATTGAGCTACTTGAATATTTAGCACAGAGTGTAAGGACCTATCATAATGAATGTTCTTAATATAACCGTAATCTAGTTTAAATACATTTTCATTAGTTGATAGACTTTTTAACTGTTTAAAAGAAAAGCATAACTTAAGTTACTGATATTTCATAACATGTTAAAGATGCAAATGTAGTTAACTACATATTTTTCATTTAATTGATTTAAAAAAAAATTTGTGTATGTCCTAGGTATACAGAATTGTTTGTTACCATATTTCAAAAATAAAGTTTTTAAAATAATAGTATTAAAATATCACTGCTATTGGATAATGAGTAAGGTATTTCAGAAAAATAGTAAATAATACAATATCATTAAAAATTCTGCATATATAAAATGTTATTATTTGGCTATTTGAATTAGTTTTTAGCCCTGGTAAAAACATAAAAAGTAGAATTCTACTGTAAATGAATTTCTTAATATGGTGAATCATGGTCAAAATTTGCCTATGTAATAATAAAAAAGATAAATTTATACTTAAATAAAAAGCAAATTGTCCCTGTATGTATCATTTTGTTTTATTAATAGAAAGTAGAGAAATAAACATTTTTAAAGACTAAACCAATTAAGAAATAGCTACAATTAGAATAAATATTGGATATGATTTGATGTAAAAAAAAAAAAAAACCCTCCGAGGTTCGGAGGGTTTATAGCTGGGGAATTTGCAGGAGAATCCAGAAATTCATTATTTTCTGGATCAAGACACTCAGCTGTTCCAGGAGCCGCCATCTT